GCCGCTTAACCAACGGCGAAACGCGTCGCATAGTGGTGAGTGTGTGATAGTGTCTATCTGGCTTTCCTTTTCACTGCAAATTTCAGATCATTAAGCTCGTCTCGAAAGAGAAAACAAACACATAAATCATAAAACATATGATCTTCGCCTTAACAAGGCAAAACTCAAAAATTCAGCCGAGCCTGGCTGTGGGATTTGAACCGCGGACCTCGGTGTGCAGCCAACTAGAAGTTGCCGTCTCTACGTTCAGAGCCATTAACCCGTCTTCCTAAAGCAGCACTAAAACAAGTGTATGCATTGGAAGCAATGTAGTTGTTGTGGACAAAAAATCCATCACTACAAAAACAAAACTTTGCTGTGAAAAAGATCTGCCAATAGAACTTGAGTCGAACCTGGAGAGTTTCTAGTGTATAATTCGCATATGCTAATTTGCAATAAGTTCGAAATATATACTACTTTCCAGAGAACGGCCCTTGTAAGCCATCATCCACACCAAATATGCCTGATGAGCCGCTTAACCAACGGCGAAACGCGTCGCATAGTGGTGAGTGTGTGATAGTGTCTATCTGGCTTTCCTTTTCACTGCAAATTTCAGATCATTAAGCTCGTCTCGAAAGAGAAAACAAACACATAAATCATAAAACATATGATCTTCGCCTTAACAAGGCAAAACTCAAAAATTCAGCCGAGCCTGGCTGTGGGATTTGAACCGCGGACCTCGGTGTGCAGCCAACTAGAAGTTGCCGTCTCTACGTTCAGAGCCATTAACCCGTCTTCCTAAAGCAGCACTAAAACAAGTGTATGCATTGGAAGCAATGTAGTTGTTGTGGACAAAAAATCCATCACTACAAAAACAAAACTTTGCTGTGAAAAAGATCTGCCAATAGAACTTGAGTCGAACCTGGAGAGTTTCTAGTGTATAATTCGCATATGCTAATTTGCAATAAGTTCGAAATATATACTACTTTCCAGAGAACGGCCCTTGTAAGCCATCATCCACACCAAATATGCCTGATGAGCCGCTTAACCAACGGCGAAACGCGTCGCATAGTGGTGAGTGTGTGATAGTGTCTATCTGGCTTTCCTTTTCACTGCAAATTTCAGATCATTAAGCTCGTCTCGAAAGAGAAAACAAACACAAAATATTTTTTTTTCACAAAACTTAAAAGTATCCCAAAAATATATTTAAATTAAAAAAATATTTAAAAAATTCACAATCAAAAAAATCCACAACCATACTTGAAAAATAATTTCAAACAATCCACAAAACGAAACTTAAAAAATATTTAAAATAATCGTGTTATGTTGTTGCAAAATAGTCAGGCTTAATTCCATTATTGTTTTTGTGGGTAAAAAAATTGTCATAGAAATTATTTTTAAAATAACTCCTGGGGATAATATCCCAGACAACAAACAAGGGAACTGAGGATTGGTGGCTAGGTATTACCTGCCTTACCCCATAGTAAAAATTACAATCTTTCTCCACTTCTCCACGTTGTTTTTATATAAACAACAATAATGGAATTAAGCCTGACTATTTTGCAACAACAACAACAAATACTATGGTATCCCGAACAAACATGCCAACACTGTTCTACAATCGTGTTTTTTTTAAATTTAAGATTATTATTTTTAATCCAAAAAATGTTTTCAAAAAAATCCTGGAAATTTAAAAAAAACCAGGATCTTACAAGATTGTAGAAATCTACAATTGTTTAAACAAATATTTCAACGAAATCTACGATATTTAACTACGATCTAGGAAAAATATATTTAAAAATATTTACAAATTAAAATATTTTAAAACCACATTCAAAATCCGTAGTCCTAATATTACATTAAAAAACACGATGTTTGAAAAAAAAATTAAGCAATCTAAAATCCACAATATCTATATATACAGGGTGAGATAAAAAAAACTGCAACAAAGTCAAATGCCATAATTTTTAATTTTTTTTTAAAAATTTTATTGAATGAATACTAAAAATGTCGGAAGTAGCATCAAATTTTAGAATAAGTTTAGATTTGTTCGAACTGGTCACCTTTGGCACGAATTGTGGTCTTCAAACGGCCAATGAAACCGTCACACGTTGCCCGAATCTTTCTCCGCGGTATTTTGGCCCGTTCCCGGCGAAGCGCTTGCTTGAGGTGATTGACACTTTGGTATTTTTTAGTGCCAACCTTGCTTTCCAAAATACTCCAGACACAATAGTAAAACGAATTGGTGTCCTGAGATTTTGGTGGTCATCATGCACTGGAAATGAAGCGAGGAACCTCATTTTGTAACCATTCTTGGGTGGCACGTGCGAAGTGCGATGGTGCTGAGTTCTGTTGGAATGTCCAAGGTCTGCGGGCAAAATGATTGCGCGTGCCCAAGGCTTTAATACACCCTCCAGAATATTTTCGCGATAATATTAGGTATTTATTTTGATGGTGTAGGCTATAACAGCCGATGGTCGGTTGGGTGGCGCGTGCGGAGTGCGATGGTGCTGAGTCCTGTTGGAATGTCCAAGGTCTGCGGCCAAAATGATTGCGCGTGCCCAAGGCTTTAATACACCCTCCAGAATATTTTCGCGATAATATTAGGCATTTTTTTTGATTATCACCATGGCCGGCGCTTGAGTTCTGATGGATGAAGGTTCACATTTTCTGCTGACCTCTTTGGCAAGAAAACACGATCCTTTTGTTTGTTTACAACCTGCTGGACAACGAATGTTTTCTCTCCGGAGAAAACTAAATTCGGCAGTTCACCACTTTCGGCCAACTTCGTAGCTCTTTTAAGTTTATTTTCTTTCTGTTGCTGTGTTTGTTCTTGCACTTTTTGGAATTTCAATGGCTTTAGTCCGAGCTCATTTTTCAATATATGCCGAATGGAATTTTGCGATAGGTTCAGCTCACAAACGGGTTTCGATCAAGTCGCTTCTTTACATTTCGAACCATTTCTGCTGATGTTGCTGTCTTCTTCCCTCCACTTCCTTGACGTCGGGCAACGCTACCAGTATCACGGTAACGAGCGATTTTACGAGACACAAAAGATTTATTCACATTTAAATGCTGGAGTGCTGTAATGATAGCCACTTGTGGTTTTCCAGCCATTCAGAATTCAGAAATGTGATATGGAGGCCACTGTTGCTATTTAGTTTTGAAAGAATGATGTGGATTTGGGAATGATTGTTCGAAAAATAAGAAGTTTTCCGTTGAGTAAATGGATAGACTTGGAATTCTGAAATTTGCTCTGGGAGGCCACAGTTGATTTCTTGGGTTTATATATGGTGGAGAGCAATTTTTATAATGAAAAGGCGTTGAAATAATTTTTACCAGAAAAATTGGATGTGTAACCATAGCGCAAGGTCTTTACTAACACACTCTATAACTAAAGGTTTTGAAGACCACATGGTGCAAAAAGTAATCATTCGATTTTCCTTTTGCGAAAAAGGATAAACTTTAATACAAATAAAGTGTTATCGAGATTGTGCAGCTGAAACGTAAGTGCGATGTATGAAGTTTGGTTTAGAAATTTTGTCCAAGAAATGTAAACAAATTTTGTATTTTGAGTACTAAAATTAACCGGAGGAATTATTCTAAAATTTTAAGTTGGAATTTTCGTTGATAAAGTAACGTACGTATTTAAAAAGGCCTTGAATTTGAAAACTCATTTCAATTGAAATATAGTTAATAAATCCTATGTTATAGCTCTGTTGATCTTTACCGTTACCGTTATATGGGGGCTATACGAAGACGTGGACCTGCACAGACAATTTTCTGGCATGGGCTGTAGTATCCATTACGAACTTCAAATGCGAAATTTGGAACAATCCCGGTAAATAATGTCGCTTAAATAATCAAAATACCGAATATCGGGGGGTACGGTATATGGGGGCTATACGAAGACGTGGGCCTACATGGACCACTTTCTGTTTTCTGCTGCAGTATCTATTACGAACTTCAAATACCAAATTTGGAACGGTTCCGTTAAATAATGTCGCTAAAATCATGAAAATACCGAATATCGGGGGTACCGTTATATGGGGGCTATACGAAGACGTGGACCTGCACAGATAATTTTCTGTCTTAGGCTGTAGTATCCATTACGAACTTCAAATGCCAAATTTGAAACAATTCCGGTGAATAATGTCGCTAAAATCATCAAAATACCGAATATCGGGAGGTACCGTTATATGGGGGCTATATGATAACTTGGACCTACATGACCCATTTACGAACTTAACCTGCCTACTGGCAAAATATACATGTGTGCAAAATTTTAGCCTTCTATCTCAATTTGTTCGAAAGATAGCGTGATTACAACAGACAGACACACAGACAGACAGACGGACATGGCTAAATCGTCTTAGAATTTTACGAATATATATACTTTGTTGGGTCTGACGTGAGTATTTCGAGGAGTTACAAACAGAATGACAAAATTAATATACCCTCCATAGTATGGTGGAGGGTATAAAAAGGTCCAGCGTATAGCTTTAAAACGCCTTGAATGAGAGCTCTTTAAAAATTCACCATTAATGCCCAGTTGATCCTTGAAAAAATATTTTAAAAAATCCACCGTTGTCCTTAAAAATATTCTTAAAACTTTATTGGTTCATAGAAAAGTATTCCTAAAAAGTCAATGTTGCAGGTGTGGCTTTTAATGCGCCATTGAGTCTTTCGACCAATTTTTCCAATTTCTCATGTAAAATGTCCAAGAATATCGAAAAATGGCAATTTTGATAAACACTACCAACTACTTGAAAAATAAAACTTTATTTGTTTATAAATGTTGTTTTTTGTTTGATTTTGTATTTTTATTTCGATTTTCTTGGAAATGAAAGTTTGTTTCTGCCTCTCTTTATTTCGTCGGCTGATGGAATAGTGGCCACTCAAATTCAAAAGGATTAAAGTGTGAGTTTGGCATTGCCGAGCGACAGAGAAATGTGGAGAAATGTCCACAAGATTGTAATCAGTCCCACGTACATTTATTGTTTTCGAGAAAAATAGTGACAGGATAATCCCCCAGACACCTTCGAGCAGCAGGCACCCAAAACAATAACGTTTATTTCTACACTTAGTTTAGTTTTTAATTGCTCTCACATGGTGACAAGCGTCGGTGGCGGCGGTTCTGAGTGCGAAGTGAATCAAATAAATATTTTAGTGGAATTTGGAATTTTTGGAATTTGATGCGTAATTGTTAAATGAAGCCATTGAATTGAATTAATCGTGTAGAAGGTAAATCAATTACCTTTCATTTTTTTTCTTGGGGAGGAGATCACACCCAAAGGTATTTTACAATGACATGCTAAAGACATTATCGACTGGTTAATTGTGCAGCGAAGTTGCCACAGCCACAAAACTAGATTTATAGTAAAATAATCGAAATAAAGTTCATGTCATTAGCCCACCAAAATGGACGATTTTGCGAGTGCTGGAAATTTCTTTAAATACATGAAGGTCATCAACTTCCATCCAATTGGCTGAATGCAAGTAATGATTTTTGATAGATGTTATTTATACATCGCCGCCATTACTTCTGAACTAAAATAATTATTGATATTTTGGTGTATTTATAGCAGCATATCGATTATATTTATCATAACAAACGGTCAAGAGTTATTTACATTTCCGTTCTCCCTCAAGTGTTAGCCAGAAAATGAAACAAATCCTGAATAGAATTTTCCATCACACATTTTGTTTGTTTAATAAATATAGCAAGTAAAACCACTTTAACTTCGGCCAGGCTTGTAATGAAGTATATATATTTGTGGTTCTAACGTGAAAATTTCGTGGAGTTACAAACGGAATCACAAGGTATGTCATACTTACCATACATTCTATGTATGGATAAATCTTTCCTAAAGGTATAATGTTAGGAACTTCGAAAAGAGCCAACATTCAGTCATATTAAAAACAAGCTGGGAAGTATCAGTCAGTTTTCCTTTAGATATTCAGGGTGAGATAAAAAAATGAAACAAGGGCAAACGCCATAATTTTGACATTTTTTTTTAAATTTTATTGAATTAAAGCAAAAAATATCGGAAATAGCATCAAATTTTAGCATAAGTTTATATTTGTTCGTTGTTCGTCCAATGAAACCATCACACGCTGCCCGAATGTTGCTCTGCGGTATTTTAGCCCATTCCCCGCGAAGCGCTTGCTTGAGGTGATCGACACTTCGGTATTTTTTAGTGCCAACCTTGCTTTCCAAAATACTCCAGACCAATAGTCCAACGGATTGGTATCCGGAGATTTTGGAGGCCATTGTGCACTGGAAATGAAGCGAGGAACCTCATTTTGTAACCCTTATTGGGTGGCGATGGTGCTGAGTCCTGTTGGAATACCTTGCGTCCTATTGGAATGTCCAAGGTCTGTTTGCGTGCCCAAGCCTTTAATACACCCCCCAGAGTATTTTCGCGATAATATTCGGCATTTATTCTGATGCCATGGTCGATTAATACGAGCGGAGAGCGACCATCGGCTGTTATGGCGGCCCACACCATCACCATGGTCGGCGCTTGAGTTCTGGTGGCCAACCGATGATGCACATTTTCAGCTGGCATCTTTTGCAAGCTTTGTTTGTTTAAAACTGCTGGACAACGAATGTTTTCTCATCGGAAAAAATCAAATTCGCCAGTTCACCACTTTCGGCCAAGCGAAGCAACTCTTTTTAGTCTGTTTTCTTTGTGTTGCGGTGTAAGTTTTTTCACTTTTTGGAATTTTAATAGTATTCAGTATTCTCATTTTTCAATATTTGCCGAATGAAATATTGCGTTATGTTAAGCTCACGAGCCATTTTTCGGCCACTGCAACGCGGGTTTCCATCAAGTCGCTTCTTTACTTTTCGCACCATTTCTGCTGATGTTGGTGTGTTCTTCCGTTCACTTCCTTGACGTCGCGGTAACGAGTGATGGTACGAGACACAAAAGATTTATTTACATTTAAATGCTGGAGTGCTCTAACGATAGCTACTTGTGGTTTTCCAGCTAATATAAATAAATCACACTATCACGCTTGAATTCCATCACGAATAATTTTTCTTCTTATAAACAATACAATGAGCTCTCACTGGAATAATTTTAACAGCTGTCAGACGATCGACTTAGAAATGAGAGCAGTCTTGCAGACAGCAGTTACAGATTTCCCATCTCAACCTGTATATTGAGGTACCGATATATGGGGCCTATACGAAGACCTAGTCCTGCGTAAACAATTTTCTGTCGCAGGATGTAGCACCCATTACGAATTCTAAATACAATAGAGTAATGTACCTATAATCATCAAAATACCTAGTAACGGGTGATACTGTTGTGTGTACGATATCGTGGACCTATATAGACAATTCTCTTCCAGGAGGGGAAAGGGCATAGAAGATCTTCTTATGTAAATTTTCAGTAATTTGGCTGCAATCATCAAAATACCGAATATCAGGGGTACCGTTATATGGGGGCTACATGATATCGTGGATAGATATTGCCCACCTTCGAACTTGATCTGCCTGCAGACAAAAGACTGATCTGTGCAAAATTTTAGCTTTCTATCTTTATTCGCTTTGACTCTAGCGTGTTTGCAACAGACGGACGGACAAGGCCAATACATCTTTAGATTCTTTTACGATAAAGAATATGCATACTTTGTTAGGTGTTAAATTATTATTTTAATGAGTTACAAACGGAATGACGAGCTCAATATACCCTCCATACTATGTATAAAAATATTTAGATCAATGTTCCCAAAAAACCGAAATTAAATTTATTAATCATTCCAATTTTTCATTTATTTTTTGTACCCTCCACCATAGTATGGAGGTATATTAAGTTTGTCATTCCGTTTGTAACACCTCAAAATATACATTTTAGACCCCACAAAGTATATATATTCTTGATCAGCATAAAATTCTATATCGATTTAGCGATGTCTGTCCGGTACCTTGATGATTTTAGCGACATTCGCTGGAATTGTTTCAAATTTGGTATTTGAAGTTCGTAATGGATACTACAGTATAAGACAGAAAATTGTCTGTGCAGGTCGACGTCTTCGTATAGGCCCAATGTAACGGTACCTCCCTATATTCGGAATGTCGATGATTTTAGCTACATTATTCACCGAATTTTTTCATTCAAGTTTCGCATTTGCATATTGTAATGGTTTATGACAGAAGTTGCCTTTGGAGGTCCACGTCGTCGTATAGACCCTAATATAAATTCGGTATTTTTAAGATTTTAACAAAATTTTAAAAGGATTTTATTATTTATTTATTATTATTACTATTATTATTATTATTATTATTATTATTATTATTATTATTATTATATTATTATTATTATTATTATTATTATTATTATTATTATTATTATTATTATTATTATTATTATTATTATTATTATATTATTATTATTATTATTATTATTATTATTATTATTATTATTATTATTATTATTATTATTATTATTATTATTATTATTATTATTATTATTATTATTATTATTATTATTATTATTATTATTATTATTATTATTATTATTATTATTATTATTATTATTATTATTATTATTATTATATTATTATTATTATTATTATTATTATTATTATTATTATTATTATTATTATTATTATTATTATTATATTATTATTATTATTATTATTATTATTATTATTATTATTATTATTATTATTATTATTATTATTTTATAATTATTATTATTATTATTATTATTATTATTATTATTATTATTATTATTATTATTATTATTATTATTATTATTATTATTATTATTATTATTATTATTATTTTTTTTTTTTTTTTTTTTGAAAATTGTCAAAATCGTTCGAACTTACAGCTTTTTAATTGTTTAATTTTTTTTTTGGTCTGACATGAGTATGATGGGGGGTATAAAAACTTTGATGAAGCAGTCACTCACTAATCGAAGTAGAGGAAGTTTTTTAAAGTTTTTGGCTTCCTTATTCTTATCGCAAAGAATTTCAAAATTCAATTTTATAAAAAATTGGAATGTATATTCAAATGTATTTTCTTCAATACGAATCCTTCATCAAACCCAAACAAAACTAGAACACTCTCTAATGCAACTATGTATTATGTGTGTGTGTGTCGATAAATGTGAATGTTCACAATAAATAAATAAATAAACAACAATTCTCGCAAAGCCTTTTTTAATTCATTCGTGTCATTGGGCAATTTACTCAATGCGGTCAAACGGTAAAACAGACACCCGTTAAAAAGTCACTAAACGTAAAACACAAAATTATCCTTTGTGACACTTTTTAATACAAACCTACAGCGAAACAAAATGACAACTGAAGGGGAGGCGGAATACAACGGAATACAACGAAACAAGTCAATTGCTGTTGAATGAGTAATGGAATTGTATTTCACTTTAAATTGTCATCCAAATCGATTAGCTTAGTTTTGCGTTTATAGTTGTACTGAAAAAAAGTAGGCCGTCGTCCATGGCATACGCCAATGTAAATGACAATAAATTATTTGGTGTGGATATATCCACACCTTTAATCCAATCCAAAGGGAGTATACAATATTTATGCTTCTCATCTAATGGTGTGGTGGAAATTCTCAAACTCGAAGTCATTGTGAAAACTGTGTCTTAGTTCAAAGAATGTTACGGAGTTCAATATACTCACAAATCATATTGTCACTTACAAAATTTAATATCAAAGCCGATGGTAACTTTGTTCTCTTCCATGTCATGAAATTATTTCAATAACAATTACTGAAGCACATTCCCGCCATAATAAACATAATAAAAGAAATTCGTCTACTTGGGCGCTTCAACGATGTCATCGACAATATCAAAGTGTAAATATTGACAGTCGAAGTCTATAATTTAAATAATAAAACAGATATCTAAGTGAACAAGTTAAACTTTTTAATTGAAGTTTGTGACCTATACTTTGAGGGACCACCCATCTAGGTGTGAATGTGGGCCCACAATGGATGGGCATGCAACTTCATAGCAATTTCTTTCTTTGATTAATAATAAATCATAGTTATTGGTTTTCGAAAACAAAAACAATACCAGTAATTTGAAGGCGAGAAAATTGTTTGGAAATTTTAATATGCAAATAATTACAATGGTTTTACATATAGACAGACACACACACTCTCGTAATGTAAATTTAAAACCAAGTAAAAACGCGTTCCACCATTTGGAACGAATTAAGAAATTTTCAAAAAATTAAAATCCTTAAAAAAAATCTGT